GCCGGGGTTGCTGCCTGGGCAAGTCGGGGAAACTGGCCAAGGCGCACTTCGGCTCGGAGGCGGAACTGAAAGCGCTGACCCACTCGGTGCTGAAGCGGCTGAAGGAGAAGCACCTGGAAGGCCTCCTCCAAGCCGTGGAGTCCCGGGGAGGCACCCGCACCGGCTGCGTCCTGCTGCCCAGCAAACTGGACTCCAAGCTGGGCCAGCACTGGTACTCCCTCCCGTTGCTGCTCGGCAAAGTCTTTCGGTGGCCCGATCTCAGGCATTGCTCGGAAGTCAAGAGGTTATGTTGCTGTGAATCCTATGGGAAAACCCTCCCGGACGTGGTCTGTTGCAACCCTTACCACCTCAGCAGGCTCTGCGAACTAGGTAGGCGCAAAAAACGGGGCGGACGGAGGGGAGGGATGCGCCTCGCCGGGCGATCGATGGGGGAGTTTGCCTTGGGCGCTTGGATCGTGATGGTTCGTTGTAGAATTTTTTTTGGGGGGGGAGGAGCGGCTTGTATCGGGGGATTTCCATTGTGTGTCCCATAAGGTTGTCTCATGTTGCATTACGGAAGTAAAGTGCAGTCTCTCTCAGGTCAGAGACCTGATATATGCAGCCTTCAAAGTTTGCACCTGTCCGTTGCATTTTTCCCAGGTTTCAAAACTTCAGGTTTTGAAATGCCACCAAAGAAGAATTCTCGTGGTGATGCATGCAGTACAGGTTGCTTGTGTCTCTTTGGTGAGAGCAGTAACTGGAAGTGCAAATGGAGAGGGAGAGAGAAGCCTAGAGAATGTTTTAATTCCAGCTTTTTGCAGGAGAAGCCGGGTGGGTTTTGCCTTGAACTTTGCAGGCAGGCTCACCTCTGTGTTTTGTGTGGCCAGTTGGGGAAGGGGACCAGAGGTGGAGAGGTGTGAATGAAGCATGCAGTTGCATGGGGTGATGCTTTCCTGCAAACTTAAGACATCTTTCAGAAATCTCAGATCCAGGGGGATCGTTTTAAAGTTGCTGTACAGTAGTTTGATTGGGGACACTTTGGCATGAATCTATGCCCTGCGATTAAGATTAAGCATTATGCAAAGAAAAAGTGGAGTGTGCCTAGATAAAAGGAGAGCTGATTGGTTTTGCACACTCCATCCTGGGAATCTTCTGTTTTAATAGACAAATCTCCAGTCAGCTTGAAGTTTGCAAAAACAATCCAATATTTGGCTTGCTTGGTTGTCCTCAGTATTCCCCCTCCCTCCTCCACCAGCCCTGCTTTGCCTCTGGAACGAGAACACATAATTTCCAGGCACCAGTTTGCTTCGTTTCCTCCTCCAGGCAGGCTGCCTTTGGTTTTACTTTGTTTTTTTAAATTGGGATGGGGGGGGGAGAGAAAGACGCTTACACAACATGGCTTTAAATTGTCAGTGGCAAACTTTGGTTGGTGTAAAGTTCTCAGTCTTTATTAAGTCAAAGTCAGTATGGAGTGGGGGTGGAACACGTTTGATGTGATTAAAGTCACACCACTGGCACACACACACGTAAAAAGAAGAAAACCCCACCAGTCTTGTGTTTCCCCTGCATCATTTTGTTCTTACAACATTGCAATGGTTTGCAAACTTTTGACAGAGCTGGTGTGGTATGCATAAAAGAGTCCGCCCAGCCTGCAGTCTTGCTTTATAGGAACTGGGAGGAGGGAGGAAGAGGGGGTGCTTAAGTGGGAGGAAAATGTGAGTCTGAATTGTGCCCCCCCTTCTCCCACCCACCCCCCATCATCCTCTGGCTTTCTGTGAAATGTTAAATGTGCATGCAGTGAGTTAGCTGGGATTATCAGGGAGCCAGGATCAGCTGGTGATTTCCAGAGCTGCAGTGTTCAGACCAGCCAAGGAGGCCCCGGTCGGTCGAGACAGCCAGAAGAGCAGATAGCACGAGAGACTGGCGCCAGCGGGCCCCTTTTGTTTATCTGACAGTTAAATATCAAGGCAATCGCCGCCTGGCTTGCCCTGCCTCCAACCCCCAGAGCTAAGACAAACAGTTTTGCTACAAGAATGCCACTGTTATCATAAGTTCCTATCTTCCGCCGCCTGCCCCCCCCTTTTCTTGCTCTCAACTTCTCATGGGTCTTTTATTTAATCTGCACTTTTCTAATTTCAGAGTCTCCCCCTCCTCCTTACTCCAGATATCCGATGGAGTTTCTCAAACCAACTGGTAAGTAACACTGTTCTTGAGCAAAGCGAAATTTGCGGATGGGAAACAGATAGCTGAGAAATAATTATTGGGCACCACATGGTGTTTATCCTGTACTTTTCTTGTATCGTTTCACATTATGATGATACTTGGATTCCCTTGGTTTTATTTGGATTCCCTCGGTTTTATTCCTCCCCCCCCACTGCTCCTACTTGGTACCATCTTCTGTAGCATCCTTAATGACCTGCAATCCCCATTAAGATCACTGAGATTACTCCTAAATACAAGTGGACTGCAGGGTTTAGTCTTTGTTCTCAAGGGCCCCTCAAACTTTATAAGGTTCTGCTGTACTAGAGAGCTGGCTTTCCTTAGTCCCCATTTCTTTATTTGAAAGTAGGTTCCTTCAAAGGAAAGCTAAGGGTTTTGTTTGGACCTAAAAATGGGGTTACATGCTGGTTTGTGCAAGTTTACTCGGAAGTAAGTTTACATTAATACAGTGACCCACACTTCCAGTTGATGAGGTTGCAGCTTCCTTTCAGAACAAAACAAAGTTATTTTCTCTAAATGGCGATGGAAAAGTAAAACAGTCACCTAACATTTCACCTGTAGCATTCGTATAACCAGCAAAAAGCAGATTGGAAAGCTGTTTGTTTTTTTAATGAACAGGATGAGCTGGTTTTCAAGTGAGGTGGGATTCCTGAAATGTCCTGTTTGTTACTGTATTTTATTTTATTTTAATTTCCTATCATTTGGCATAAGTTAAGAGTATTGTAGAAATTATGAAGAGGCACACAGATGTTTTAGCACAGCCTCCTCTGCATGCTTGTTGCTTGTAATGGAGTGGCAGGGTGCCAGGGCAGAAGCCCCATTTGAGTCTGGCACCAAGTGCTGTTGCGGTTGTCTGCATAAACTTTTGGCTGGCAGCAGGCTCACCCTCTGCTAGATAAATAGGCTGGCATTGTGGAAGAGAGGGAAATTAACGAATATCGGAAATGTGGACGAAATGGGGTAAGGGGGGGCAGGAAATAAAATTCCACAAAGCCACTACATCTCTCCTGAAGATTAATGGAGAAAACTACAAATAATAAATAGAAGAGTTGTTTTACTGATTACACCCTGATGTCATACAAGGAATTAAGTTACCATGGCTTAAAAATAGATTTTAATTTTTTTATTTTTTGGTGGAAGCCTTATTTCAGACAGTAGCAAGTCTTTCTTACCTTGGTTTCATTAAGGGAAAGCCTATTTGTGTTGTTTAGTTCCCTGGGTCTGCTTAGTTTGCCAAGTTTAAATATTAACTTTGAAGGGTGATGGTTTCTCTTTTCAGAGGTTTGGCCAGTTCTTTGACGCCACATTTGAACTGGGAACTCCTTGCAGACAGAGACCTTTTGTATGAGAGAGCTGGTAGAACGTAGACTGAGATATAAATTTGGAAGTCCTTGATTCGAATCTTTCCATTAGAAGGTCTCTCTCAGCCTCACTGCCTCTCTTTGCAGTTTGGAGATAGGGATGATAATTTATTTTACACGGGTTAAAACAGAAACAATTTTTGGGGGGGGGGCCTCGTACCTGGGGTGGGCAGCGTAGTGCTTTACCTATTGAGACTATAATTCACAGAATGAATTATACTGTAGTCTCAAGCATGACTGTTAGTTCAGAGGACACAGTTTGCCTGTTCCTGCATTATACAAATCTTACGTTTTACTACAAATGATTAAAATGACAGATGCTTTAAGCTACAACTCCCAGCAGCCTTCACCACCACTTCTGCTGGCCACGATTTCTGGGAGTTGAAGTCCAAGAACATCTGGAGGCCCGAGGTTGGGGACCACTGCTTTAAACAAACAAAGGACAGCAGTCCCTCTCCCCCATGGCTGTTTGTCTCTCCATTTCTTTGCAATCCATAAGCATCCCTGAACTATAAGCAGTTCTGAGTAAAACATCTGGACCACTGCAGAACACCTGATACTGGTATCTTGCTGGCATTTGTATTTAGAAGGAAACCCCCCCCTTCCCCTTGTTTTTGTGAATTGTTTTTCGTAGATATCTGTTTCTCTGGCGGGATATTTGGTAAACATCTGGACCACTGCAGAACACCTGATACGTGGTATCTTGCTGCCATTTGTATTTAGAAGGAACCCCCCCCTTCCTCTTGTTTTTGTGAATTGCTTTTGGTAGATATCTGTTTCTCTGGGTGGCCAAAAAACAAGGTTCTGACATTCTGTCACATTGTGATGTGAGCAAAAAATAATAGCTCTCAGGACAGGATCAACAAGATAGGAAATGGCTTTTTGTTTCCCTTGATGGCTGAGTACCAAGTGGGTTCTGCCCCAACTCCAAAAGCATCTTCAATAGGACTCCTTGGTTTTATCTTAGGGATGTGACTTGGTGGGAGAAATTTCTGTGGGAAAGAACACGGTTTGGGGTCTCTGTTGCCCACCTTCACGCCTTGATATTGATTGGTTTGGCATCTCCTTTTAGGGATTTCGCCAGCTCCTGCCACATGGGGCTAACTATGGGCTAGTTAGCAACAGACTGCTTCGGTGGTCTTTCAGATGGCACAATGGGTATGATGCTGAGGGACCTGGAAGCTAAGAATTGATCCATTGGGCAAATCCAGGCCACCCCTCCTCAGTTTCCCTCTTGATCAAAATGAGTGTGCCGTTCGTTTGCTTAACTCGTTCACCTTGCGTTTCATATAAATACTGTCTCTGGCATTCACCCTTTGGCTTAGATCAGTAAAATAATGTGAGATGGTCTCAGTGCTACCAGTTCAGTTAAAAAAACCTCCTGCTTTAGTTAAAAACGCACACACGTACGAAAGAAAAAGCAAGCAGGGGAGAAGAATGGAAGAGTTAGATTTGTTTGGCAGTGCTGGGCAAAGTTATGAACTTTAAGGTGATACTTGGGCCCAAACTGGTCTTCTTTTCTTGCTGGCGTTCGCCCAAAGAGAGGGAGGGGTATAATTCCCAGAATTCGTAGCTGGCTGTGGGATTCTTGATGCTGTAGCCAAAGGGGGAGTTCTGTGTGATCTGGAAGATGATGAGCTTTCAGGAATCATCTGACTTTGTTTCTTGATTCTGTGCCTGGTAGTACGTTCCATCTGTATCCAGACAGTCTTTCTCCGGAGTGTGCATACGCTTTAGGTCTGGACGGACCAATGTAGAAGAAAGGTCTAGTGGAGATACTGTCTTATGTCCAAGTAATGGTGATTAGGCTCGGTGTATTAGTTTGTTTTTTGAAAAAAATGTTTATTTATTACAAAGGGATGTCTCTTGTCATACGGAGAGGTTGGAAAGAGTGGTGAATACCTGGCAAGTTCAGGGCCGGTTGGAAAGGATGGTTAAGGGGCTGCTGTTTGGTTTTCCTGCAAAGATGCTAGGATAAATCTCTTAGCCGGAGTTTAAACATCCACCCTGCTGTTGCCAAGGACTCAGTCTCCGTTGGTGGAGTGATATATATATTCATTAGCAAGTGTTGACATAAGGTAGCAAAACTGTGTGTAAATAGAAAAAGCCACAGAACGTGAATGTGGATTTCTGAAAGGAAAAGTTCTCTGTATTGGTCAATGGGAAGTGATTAATGGAGCCAGTCGGAAATGTTAAAAAAAAATGCAGAGAGAAGGGGGGGAATAAAAGAGTTAGGTTACTTACCCAGAGCCTCTCCCCCCCACAAGTCCATTTGGCAGTTGAACTCTGAATATTGCAGCACGTGGCGTGTAGAGACAAAAATACCTCATAAGTCTGTCGTTGCAGGTGGTTATTACAACCTCTGACTCTGACTTAGCTTCCTGTTCAATCAAGGCCATTGTAAGGAGAGAGAGAGAGAGGGAGTGAGAGAAAGGGAATTCACTGTTTCTGTATCCTTTGTTCTTGCTGCTATAATTTCTCCATGTTTCCAAATCCCGGTGTCCTGGATCCTGTCGGATTTTCCTACAGTTGCTAAGGGCCGTTTGTGTGTTTTGCAGGCTGTGGGTTACACCATTGGTTAGTGCAGCCGGGGCATGACTTGAGTACACAACAGACAGCCTACAACATACCCCATGTGTACCTGGTGATCCCAATAGGAAACTGGTTTAAGTTGGTTGGAATATATTGTTTGCTTGCAAGTCAGTGGAGAGCAGGATCCTGGCAAATAAATTGGGGCGGACAGAAGGTTAAAAAAAATTCTTCTGTTGAGCAAATTCTGATTGGTGTAAAAGAGTTAGCCATGTTTTGAAGTTATGCAGCACAATGCATCTAGGAAAACAGGAGGGTAACAGACTTTTTCTACTGTTAGCTTTATTGAAGGATATGTGTCTTCCCAGATTAGTAAGGGAGCAATACTGTATACCTCATTTTGCTGCCTATGTTTGACTGTGGGCAACAGCGTTGAGTGATGTACCCACCTATGTAATCTTAGTATGTTGCATGAGGAAAAATAGTGAATTAGCAATGATAATCTTGAGAGAGTATAAGTGTTATGGCTGGGTCTGCATAGTATCCCCTAGCAAAAACCATCATATTTGTGGCGATAGGAAAGTTCTGTTTGAGTTGTTAGGACTTGTGACAGGCCACTTACACTTGTAAGCCATCACTTGATATTTCACCTGAAAATTAGAGAAAGGTTTTTCAAATTCAGGGCTACTTAACTGCATTTTTAAAGTGCATGTGTGTTGATGTGTACAAACTGTAGCATCTGCATGCCAGAGATACGTGATTGCAAAACTATATACCTGTGGTCAAGTACTGTATGTATGCCAAAGAGAAATAAAATAAATGTCTTATGGGGAGTTGCTGAAGGCATGAGAATGGTGTTTTGATCATGGATTCAACTTATAAGAAAAGAGATTTCACCTAAACATTAGGAAGAACTTTTCAGTGTTAAGAGATGTCTGACAGTGGAATAAACTGCCTTTGAAGAGTGGTAGCTTCTCTTTAACTGGAGATTTTTAAATGGGATGGATGGATTTTCTGCTTCAATAGGGGGGTTAGTCTGGATGACCCTTCCATCTCTGTAATTTAACGATTCTGCAGTGCTGTGGAGAATAAGGAGTCTTCATAATAATGTCTCTGGCAGGCTTCGAAAAATAATTAAAATTCTGATATGAAGGTATCCAACCCCTAGTTATTGGGAAGTTACAATTAATTAGTTTTTTATAACTAGCTATTTCCAGAGTTCTGGTTCATTGGTAGGAAGAAAATTGGTGAAGCCTTCCAAGCAGAGCAGCAAGATATGGAGCCGAAAAGTCGTACAAAAATGTTTTAATTAAGAAAAAAGCTGTTTCCTTAGAAGACAGAGAACGCTGTAGAAAGTGTATCGTATACAGTATTTTCACAAGTAACTCAATTTCCTGTCTGCCCCATTGTTTTCAGTTTGATTAAGTATATCCTGTTAAACTGTATATTCCTGTTCAGAGTTATACTTGACTCTGATAAAATGAGATTACACAGTCTTATACGCACATACGCGTGTCCTCTTCTTGCTCTGTTCAGCACTGAGTGCTTGGAAAAAACAATTTTTAAGGTTGGGTGGAGGGCAGATGGCTGTAAAGTATGTGTCCCTCTTACGAGGCATGTGTTATTGATGCTGCAGGCCCTAACTTTGCCTGGTGGGAGGCTGTGTTGATAATTTGCCAGTAAGCTGAAGCCACCTATGATCTTCTTTCTATATCCACTTGATTAGGAATGGTTAGAATAATGCTTAGGGCTGTGGCTTTTATTTAACTTGGGGGCTGAGAACCGAGATGCTGGTTGCCAGAGTGGAACGGTGGGGTGTCTCTACCTTTGTGAGTCTGGTAGCTTTGTGTTTTACTGCTCTCCTTTTTTTCCAGAGCAGATAAAACCATGTGCCTTAAAAACAAAAAATCTGACTTACGAGTTTTGGTTGCCAAGAACCTTGAGCCCTCCCCGTGTCTAAAGCTTGTTATACTTTAATACTTTGTGCATTACAAGCACTTTTAAAAGAAATTTGGCCCGAGTTCACAATTCTTGGTCGCTCTCTTTGCCTAGCTCAGAAATGTTGCATCAATCAATGTTACTGTTAATAGGGAACAGGAAGTGTCATTCTTAATTGTTTCCAAAATATGAGAGTGATAATAAAAGCTGAAGAGAAATCAAATCAGAGAAGTCAAATAGCTGTAGCTGTGGCCAAGCAGCCTGGGGGGGGGAGGTGTTTGGGAGTTGTAGATCTGGCAGGATAGCTCGGTGGTTTGTTCAGATGTCTGTCAAAGGTTGGGATCCCTGCATTAATTTAATTTTACAAACAATAATAGCAATTTTTCGAGAGCATAACAGTTTACATAGTTTGGAAGTAGTTTTTATGTTAGCTCAAAAGTACTGGTGAAATAATAATAATAATAATAATAATAATAATAATAATAATAATAATAATAAATTTTATTTTATTTATATGCTACTTTTCATGAGCGCAGGGCCCAAGTTAGCATGCACCCATGAAATGATCAATCTAACCCATTCTCCACACTAGTAGGCAGTGTCTCCTCCCCATTAAGTGCAGCTTGAAATTGTGTAGCTGGAGATGCGAGCAATATAATCTAGGTCAGGGGTGTCCAACCTTTCACCTTCCCTGGGGCACATTAGAAGATGAAAATTTGTTTTGGGCCGCACATACATTTGGTTTGGGCCGCATGGGGGGGGCGGCCCTAGCCGTCCTCCGCAGTCCCGCTCCAAGCGTGCTTACCGGCAGCTGCGATCTCAGACCGCAGAGGCTGCCAGCTTCGACTCCGGCGGCTTTATGGGGCCAGGAGGGGGTCCACCTATTGACGGGGACGGCGCAATGCAGTCACGCATCTCCCCTCCCGCTCCTTCCTTCCTTCCCTCTCCCCCTCCCACCATTTCCTTCCTTCCCTCTCCCCCCCCCCACCATTTTGACGTGCCCTGGCCGCATTCCGGCCACATGCGCCAGCAGTGTAACTTGAAACTTTGGAATTTCTTTAAAAATAAAAATTTGCACTGGGCCGCATTACTAGCCGACCTGGGCCGCATGCGGCCCACAGGCCACAGGTTGGACAAGCCTGATCTAAGTTATTCTATATGTAAGTCATGCTTTCTACTGCTGATTATGCTGTACCTTCCCAAAGGCTGCCTGGCTTCAAATTCAGCCAAACTGTCATTTGGATATTGATACTGGTAGCAGATAGCACTTTACCCCTGTAGGCAGCCATACCCCATGCTTAGAGATTTTGGGTTCCCATTAGGAAGTGCCATTTGTTTTTTATTTATTTCTTCCTCTCTTTTCACTTCAAGTCCCAGAATTCTCTCAAGAATTCCGCTAGCGGAATTTTGGGGGTTCCTTGACCACAAAGACACAATTACATCCCTCTCACCTGGAACAGAGCTAATCTTTCAGGCTGTCTCAGACCTCCTTCCTGTACAGAAAGGGAAGTGCTCCACTGTTTCCTCAGATATTTAGATCTTTATGGGAGGTGTAGGGTTTTTTTGGCAGGTGCCCTATTGTGCAACAAAACTACACTTCTCACAAAGACCTAGGTCTCCCTGGAACCACTGGACCAGTTTCTTGTGTTTACAGGAAGTAGACTTGACACAGTCTGGAAGATAGGTTCTGTTCCAGGTGAGTGAAAAGTAGGTGTGTGGCAGTAAGCAGGTACCTCCAGAAGTTTATTTCTGGAATTCTTGGAGAATTCTGGGAGTTGGAGCCCCCCCCCCCCCGTCACCAATGAATGTCATACTCATCTTTTCTGTTCTTTCGACATTTTGTGTCTTGATTCATGGGAACTCCTCTTTTGTGTTCTTTCAACATTAGGAATGATCTGTAGATGCATGCTGTGGCCCTTTCTCATGTTCATTCCCTGTTTTGTGTCTTGATTCACAGTGACTATAGCTTGGTTGTGACCTCCATATTCTGTGAATCAGAATCAGAAACCCACATTAAGCTCGTTTCTGGTTCCAATTAGAAATTAGTGGTTGGCCATAGGTTGCTCAGTTCAGATTTCACAAGAAAAAATATAAACAAAACCGTTTACACGTAACAGTTGAAGATAAGGTGCGCTACCTGTGAGGTGCTTGTGATGATGGAGTGGAATCATGATGTCAGTAATCTTTGCAGCAATCCCATAAAAGTTAGGCCCTCATTACCCAGGTGTGTTGACATTAGAGGGGAATTTCCTTGTCCAAACTGCTGAGGACAACTATGACATTTCCAATTTTAACACATTTCCTTCCAGTTGTACGAAGAGAGATTGCAAGAATACCCAAAAGGCTAGGACAGTTGTCAGTAGTAATGAAAAAAATATGAATAGGTTCCTATTGAAATATTCAGGAAATCAAAGTATGTTTTAAAAACTGAAAATATCTAAGCATTTTTGGCAAAGAGGAGTCCCCTATCCTTTCGCCTTCAGTTTGGTATTGTCGCTGACTGGCTCGATTCAGATCAATGGTGAAGCAAAGAAAACTCATTCTTGACTTCTATCTAGACCTTAGGCATGACAAGCTGGATTTCAGTAACTAGTGGCTAGTAAAACAAAGGCAACTTTACTGGGGGTGAGGTGGGGGGGGCGGAATGATTCCTGCCACTCTATAATCTTGTTCTCATTGACTAATATAATTAAGTGGCAGAGTGGAGCCTAGACATGGGTGATGCATTAGGGTGGAAATCTCATGGAGAATTGCAGTGTCTCTGTGCAGACCATTAGTAATAACTTCCTACTAAACGCTGTGGAATGTGCTTCATTTGGCTGGGACATCATTTGCAGTGAGCTTGTTTTTTGTTTTTTGTTTTTTTGGTAGCGATTTGTCATGTTCATTTCTTAATTCGTTTCCCTTTTCTGTTGCAGCAAGTTGTCCAGATTCTGTGCCTTCCTCCACCGAGACAGGGGGAACAAATTTTCTGGCCCCTGCGGGGCTCTCGGGTAAGAAAAAGACTTTATCTGTAACCCCGTTGCTGTACATTTTAAAGAAACTGGTGAAAAGTTCTCTCATTGCTTTCAGAGTGTCTGCTGCAAGAGCATGGTTGGTGTAGTTATATCTTAAGTGGCGCCCCAGCAAGGGAAGTTAACTTAGTCTGTTACCTGGTGGTACAGATCCAGACCATAGCCAGTTCTGTCTCCTATTGTTAAGAGTGTGAATCTTTATGTTAACAAATGGTGGGAGAATGAAGAACCCAATTGCTTGAACCCAGGTGTGTTGAGGTCCAAAATGAGGTCCATTAGCTGTCGACAGGTAATGGACGTCATTTTGTGTTCAGGCAGCAGACAAGGATGAAATAAATCCACAAGCTACCTGAAACTTTCATTCAGTTTAGTTTTTGCTGCTTGACAAACACTAGTGAACCATTTGTTAGTCTTGGGCGTTGTTCCATAGAAAGTTTTGACCGGGGCTGGTCATAATTATTGCAGACGTCTACAAGTTGACACAAGATTTTAGGAAGGAAAACTGGAAAACTGATTCATTATTGTTGGTGTTCGTATCCTGTTCCTAAACTGTCTGTGATCTGGTTGGGTAGCTCAATGCCTTGGGTGTCCGGCTGCAGCGCTGAGAGTTTGGGAGTTCAATTCCTCGCTGTGCCTCGTGGGAAAAGAGTCAGCCTTTGTAGCCTTGGGCAAACTTCATAGCCCAAGAGCACACCCCTAAGAAAAAAGGAACCACTTCTGAGTGGTTTCCAGAAGACCCTGGAAAAGGGTCACTGTAAAGTCGAAATCCAGACTCCCAGGTCTGGTGCTGGCTGGTAATTTAGTGGGAAAGTCCCTCTAGGGAAGATACATAAGTGACTTACCTACGCTGTAGTCTGTCTTTTTTTAATTCAGTGCCATGTTACAGTTCTGAGTGATGCTGTAAAATTGAAGTTTCCTGGCTGTAATGATGGTACGAAGCATGCTGTCTTTCCCACATATTATCTTCTTTTCTCGTACAGCAGTCCTGTATCTTCCTCTTTTATTAAGATGTGGTTGTGATTCTAGGAAGAGAGGATTGGTAGACTACTGTTACCTACCTTGCAGCAGTTAGCTGAGGGCATTCTCAGCCGATGAGAGATTCACACACAGAAAGCTAAATTATATCTTGTCCACTGCCTGGGTGTGCCAGAGCAAGCTCTCGCTTTTTTTTCTGGTAGAGTTGCAAGTCCAGGCCTGGCTTTCAGTCATTAAGGTGGAGTGTAAGATGTTTTGGTGGCTTACAACTTTGTTGCATGCATGCGCCTGTGAATTGTTGGATCTTTGAGAGAATATAGGGGAAAAAAGAACGTAAGAATTGGTTTTGGAGGACTATTTCACACAGTCTTTTGGACTTTTTAAAACTTGCTTGCGACATTTATAGCTTAGACACAGTTAGGGTACTTAAAACCAAAACCTAGCGAGTTGGCTTTACACAGCCTGGCCATTTATTCTTTAGAGGAGGCTGACCCTTTTTAAAGCTCCCTTTTGTCATTTTCCTTTTATGCTTCCTCCTAAGAGTCTAGTGGATCTTGCCCTAAATGTTTTTCTTTTTCTTTCTTTTGCTAAAGCAAAAAATTTTTACCTGTCCAGGCTCGTGTACCTTTTGGAAGATAATTTTCTTTTGCCAAGGAGTTTGGGCGTGATTTATGGCTTGTTGGGACTGTTGTGCTTCATTGGGGAGCCTCCGACTGAAATGTGGTGGATGGCTCTTTTTCTCTAAGAGTGTGCATGTATGCGCATCCCTTTTTCTCTCCAGGGAATTGGCATTCAGCATGGCTACATTTAAGTGAGTCCTTGTTTGCTTTCCTTTTAGCGTAATCTATACCTTGCCTGAGTTATTGGAGAGGGGAGTACAGGTATTTTGTTTGTTCAAAGGGCCCTAATGAGAATGAATCAAACGAGCAGAGAGGGAGGGAGTACAAAACAAGACACATGAGTTTGTTCCACTGGCCCCCCTCCCAGTAAAAGCAGATTGTGATGTTCAATCTGGCTTTCTTACTGAAAAACTGGCCTTTGCGCAGCGAGAGGGGCAGTGACAAAATAAGAAAAAGAATGAGAACAATACAATAACGATGTTGGTTGGTTTCAAGAAAACAGAATAGCCAAGTATGTGAGAGGGTGGGGTTGCGTTCCGCAGGATACCACATGAAATAAGCAAAGGAAGTACTCGCTTTTCTTTGAAAGATTTGTGTATTGATAGCATCTCAGTCTGTCTAGTCTGCTCCTGAGGGGAAGTGGGAGGCATGGAAGGGGCTTCTTCAGGCTTCAGGAAATAACATGACTTGTCTGGTGGCGAAATGCTTTCTGAAGGAGCTCTCTAGGTAACAGAAAGAATTGGGTAAAGGTGGTTTCTTGTGAGCGTTTCCTCAAAGCTTGAGTCCATTCTTCTGTGTTTCTGGTATGAGCTTTGCTTTCGGAGTAGATTGCATTAAAGCAGTTTTGGAGTTTTTGAACATCAGGGTGTAAAATCCTGGACTTAAAAAAAAGCTCTCCTTGCAAAAATCTTATTCTCACGGCATGTTACCTTCTAATAGATACTTTCTTTAGTGAAGAAGGGGAAAGGGGAGTGTTTTAAAGTCACAAAGCAAGGGGGTGGACTAAATAATCTCTGAAACAGAAGCTGAATATGACCACATGGAGGACCAGGTAGTTAAGTGTTGTTGTTTTTTTAAAGTCCCAGTGATTTCAGAGGCGTAGATTTTAGAATCCACATTGCTCTTTACCTGTTGGAAGTGTTTGGACTTAGAAGTATTGGATGTTGTCTAAACACTGCCAAGGATTTGCAGCAATTTGTACCAAAGCTCACTTTCTCTGCTCCTGACAGACTTGAGATATAGGCTGCTGGAGAGTGTGTTTGAACAGGACTTTTAATCAGCTGTTATCAGGGCGTTTAGGGTGCTTTGCTTCTGTCTGCAAGGAAAAGTTGCAGCAGCCTACTTAAGCTTAAATAGGAGCTGGCTCACAGAAAAGTACACAGTCATTTCCTTCATCCCTTCCCTTTCATGAACTTTAAAAAAAAAAGATAGGTGTGTTGCTGTCTAACTTTGTCCCAGGAAAGAATGAGATAGGAGCTGGCTGGATAGCTCAACTGGTTTAGGTCTCTGGCTTCAGAGCCGGAGGTTGTGGGAGTTCAGTTCCTCACTGTGCTCCGAGGTTGGGAGTTCAGTTCCTCACTGTGCTCCTTGCGAGTAGAGCCAGCCTGTGTCGCCTTGGGCCAGCTGCAGAGTCCCAAGGTGCTCTCAGAAGAAGAAAATAGTAAACCACATTTGAGAAGTCTCTACCTAGAAAACCCTGGTTTTAAAAAAAGTCACCATAAGTCAGAATTGACTTGACAGCATATGCTTATAAGCTGGCTCAATAGCTCCATGTTTTAGGGATCTGGCTGTGGAGACAGAGCATGGTCGTTGGATTCCCCACCGTGCCTCCTGTAATAAGAGCCAGCCTGTGTGGCTTTGGGCAAGCTGCTGCTCCCCGAAAGAAGGGAATGCTAAACCACTCTTGAGTATTCTCTCCCAGCCTTGAAAACTCTGAAAAGGGTTGTCATAAGTCAGAATTGATTGACTTGACTGTCCTTTATTATTATTATTAT